AAAAAAATTAAAATCCATTAAAGAAATAAGTCTGGTTTAAAATGGAGTTCAGGTGGCAATTTTCAATCACTCTGTCAGCAATACAAATTTTGATGCATGAAATCCAATGGGAGGCATGAAATGGACAAGAGTTAGTGGAACCAAAATATTCTATCCCAACTAGATTAATTAAAGACTGCAAATCCTTGAAGGTTACTGACATCAAAAGAATCCTTGTTCTAGAAATCACTACTTTTCACTTAAAAATGTTAATACCACCTTTGTCTGTTTGTAACCTTCTTTAAGGATACAATATTTGTTTTTTGTAATGCATTTTGCCATTTATATTGGTGCAACTACACATGCACATGAACAAGTGATGCTGGAAATTTTTAATTTTTTTTTTTTTTTTTTTTTTAAAAATCTATATAATTTCACTTAGATTCTTTTTCTTTCCATCATTTTTGTTAGTAGATATCCCACACCATGATGATAGAAGTTCTGCTAGGAATGGTGAAATGTTATAAGAACCAGGACACAAATTTACTGTATTGGACCTTGCAATCAAGACACTCTCTAGATATTTGCCTCACAGTGAATTGCTTTCTCCTTTGATCAGAGTAGCATTTTTATGTCAAAATTGTGGTCAATCTCGTTACAGTGAGCAGCCAAAACTTTTGATGTATTGTTTTGTAAAATGTCCCTTTTGTGTTCATATAATCTTTTAGATTCCTTGAAATTTCTCCTATGTATTTTTGTGAGATTTATTACAGGCAATTGAGCAAATTCCTCCTTCATGTTTTTGCTTATTGTTTTGTTTAGTATTGACAAATGACAATGAAGTTCTAAAGGATGAAACATGTCACAAGAAAAATTTTCTACTTTGTCATACATTTTCCTCAATTTTAGTTTATAAACCAGCCATAATGTGATTCTTACTTTCAGCATCACTTATGATTGCGTTGAGATAAATATGAAGAAGTTTAATTACAAGTTTGATATAAAATACAAGAGAAAAATAAGTAACAACTTTACCTTTTTTTGTTCTTGAATTAAAATATTATCTTTCATTTTTTTTTCATTTGTTGCTTTGACTGCTTCCTGCTTCAGTTGATTTTGAACCATTTCATCATAAAATGATGATGGTTTCTCAATATTATGAACTTCAAGATATTCTTGAATGTAAGAAGTCAACTTAAAAACGGTTTCCTTAAAAAAATGTAAAAAATTGAATATAAATTAAAAATAATTACTGCAAAAAAAATATTTTACAATATTATTGAATATAATTTATAAATATTTGTAAATAGAATTTCTACATTCTGATTAAAAATTTTTTGAAAGCTGTATTCAAATCGATTTCTTACATATCTCAAAAAACATTCCATTAAATTAATATTTCCATGTGCAGTTCCACAAAATGAAAGTCACATTATGAAACAGATTCCTCAAAGATTATTAAGGTGGGGGTTATGAAGCCAGTGCAGGGGTGAGGAGGAGGAGGAGACAATTGCAAGAAAACAAACACTAATACAGATATGATTCAAATGAGAGTTGGGGGGTACATGCTCCTCCAGAATAATATCTGACAATATTCCAGAAGACAGATATTAAGCAAAGAAAGATAGATTGAAGATTGTAGTTGACAGGAAAGCAAGAAGTCAGAAGTGAGCCCACAAGCAATGTAGGAGAAGAAACTATTAGCATAAAACTTACTGTTACAACTAGCAATTTCATCAGTGAAACAGAACCTAGCTGCCAATCTAGTATTGTGCTAAAATTCATAAAGGTACAAAGGAAAAAATGCTCATCAGAATCAGAACAATAACTGAGAATATTCAGAGAAGAGGTAAGAAGAGCTACATTATGCTGAAGGGAAAGTGGCTGAAGCTGAGATGCCACCTCAAGACTGATGAAATTGCAGATGTTTGGGAGTTTATCAGGACCCTCCAGATACATACCATACCAGAAGCATGAGACATGTAATCACAATGTTAAATGATATGGTAGATCATTTTTATCTTTTTTTTTTTTTTTTTTTTTTTTTTAAATCATTTCACCCAAAGCAATGCCACTAAAATGCAGTGGGGGTTAGTGTGAAAGAATATGCAAAAAAGAAAAAACATTCAGGAGAAAAAACAATAAAAAGAGCAGTAATTGAGACAGAAGATAAAGACATTACATTTAAATATTTGAGGATGAAAGTTGGCTGGAAAGCAAGAAGCTGGAAGAGATTTCCACACGTGAAAAGGGCAATAGAAGAAACTGTTAGCATAGAACTTACAGTTATACTTAATTGAAAAGTGAAAAACTACTATTAAGGAAAGAGAATAATAAAAAGAAAAGGAATTAAGACAGAAAATAATGAATGACATTGCATTTCAATGTTTGAAGATGAAAGCTGACTTGGGAAGCAAGAAGCCAGAAGAGTGTTTCACAAGTGAGAAATGTGATAAAAGAAACTTAGCATAGTACTTGAGGTTACATTTAGCCATTTCTGATGTAAAATGATGAGATCTAACTGCTAATCTAGTACTGCACTTAAATTCATAAAGTCAAGGTACCACAGAGGAAAGCTCATTAGAACAATGACCATGAATATTGTTATAGAAAAAGGCTCAGAGAAGCTACATTGCACTAGTAGGAAAATGAAGTTGAGATGTCAGGATTGATGACATTGCAAATTTTTCTTTGGACTTTATCAAGAATCACTAAATACATCAAAGTACCAGACCAGATGTTACAGCAATATAAATGCATAGACAAATGGTAAACTTATAAAGGTGTAAGAGAATCTAGCAATAAAAAATCGACTACCATTTGACAGAATCAATTTAGAAGACTTAGAAGTTGATTTAATATAAATATTTCTATTAGTAGAAAGCAAACTGAAAAGGTATAATGCCGGTTAACATCAGCCAAAAATTCTTTAAGACGACTAAAAGAGAGCATTTCATTTTGGAGGTGTTAAAATTAAGACATTTCTTGCTGTAGTTACCAACAGATTGTAGGTCATTTTTTAGATCAGCTACCAATATGATTTTAGAAACTGATCAGACTATTAGACAGGAGTAAATAATATTGTCTTCAGCATAGATACTAAGTTCAGAACTGATGATATTGGGAAGGTCATTGATGAAAATAAGGAATAAAGTAGGCTCCAGACTAGAGCACCATGACACCCATATTAACCTTTAGTACTCTGTAATATTTATAAGTATTTCATCCTTTGGATATAAGTGGCCACACAATTGCAGTAGAATAATCTTCAATTTCCAGTTAGTCATTTTTCTCTTGCCATAGCAGGTTATGACAATACTAGCACAAAATTTAAGCACACTATTGTCTGATCAGAGTTGCATACAGTGGCTGTACAAACATTTTCTTTGACAAATGGAGTCACCTATATATTCAAAGTGTTAAATGTTAATGCAAAAATATCTAAATAAGTATCAACTTTCATTACACAGATTGATAAAGAAGATTGAATTAAATTGAAGAAACAGCCAGAAGTGCCATAACACTTCAACTACTGGAAAAGACTAGCATGCCAAATCCTGCCAAATGCCTTAGCTTTGTCATTCTTATGTAAAACTTGACAGACCTTTTAATAAATTGGTGGTTGACCTAGCGAAGCAAAAGCTATATTGTTTGTCTGAAAGAAGAATGCAAAGTGAGATGCTTAACCAATTCAGGATTGATTAGAGCATCTACTACATTTTTTCTAGTAGAAGATTGATAGTTTAAAGAATAAGGCAAATCCCTAGATTCCTTAAAAACTAAGTGCAGAGGAGGACTTACAACAATCTGAAAAGCAAGAAACATTGGAGAGAAAAGGGAACATTTGTTATGTCAATAGCACAATATTACAAATTGTTAGTAGTAGTAGAAGAAGTAGAAGTAGTAGAAGAACTACCACCACCACATAAATTGATCACATCTGTCCTGATGAACTGTACTTACTCTTTTCTCAATGAAAACAACATTCTTCCCTTGGAACAGAAAAGATATCAAAAAGATTCATATGGTTGCAAAGATCAACTATTAATGCATATAGTGATCTTGCAAAATTACAGAAAAAGATAGAAATCTCAGCACAGCTTGGATAGATTGCTGCAATCCCTTTCATAGGGTGCCACATTCTTGGACACTTAAGGCTTTGAAAATGTACAAAGTCTTCTTGGTGATAGTAAATTTCCCTAAATATGCAAATGTGGAAAGCAACATTATACCTTAATGACATCAAAGGTACTACCACTTCCAGTTGTTTGAATATCTGACAAGGAATCTTTTAAGTAGACTCCCTGTCATTCCTTTTGTTCCGTCTGTCCTTAATCCTACTTTCATATGAACTGAACAGTAATAAATATGGATACAAAGTAAAAAAACAAAGTGATTAATTACCTATTGTATAAGATTGATATCAAACTCTTTGCCAAAGATAATGTTGAAAGGTTATTATCAATACTGTACAATGTTTCAGTAATGACATTGATATTGATTTCAGATTAGATAAATGTGCAAAAGTAACATTCAAGGAAGGAAAATTACAAAAATACACTCAAAAGATCAAGATTTTGTCACAAAGATTAGGAAACTGAAACAAGAAGAAGCCATTTAAATACCTAGAACTCAGCGAAAGAGATGGAATACATCATGCCCAAATGAAGGAGAAAGAAAGAAAAGAATATCATAGGCATGTGTATCTGGTATTAAATACCAATTTGAATTCACAAAACAGAATATCAGTCATAAACACCTTGGTTGTCCCAGTTTCAACATGTTTAATTGGACCATAACTGAGATTAGGTGAATGGATGTTAAAACAAGAAAGCTTCTCACTTGCTACCACATACATCATGCGAAGTCTGATGTTGATCATCTCTATGTACCTAGATCCAAAAGAAGCAGAGGATTAGTTCAACTAGAACTGTCTTACAAAACCACAACAATCAATCTTCAAAGATACCTGGAAACTACAGAAGACTGAATGATGATCTTTGTCACAGAACATGAAAGAAATAAGAAACTTTATTCATTGCTAAAGGAAGACAACAAATTCAAAAGGAAATTTCAAGTGAGTGAAGAAATGCAAATAAAACATAATACACCTACTGCAGCAGTAAAGAACCTAAAAAAAGAAAGCAAAATTAAATGCAATGTATGAAATGCAGAAATGATGGCAAGATAAGCCTCTTTATGGTCAATACTCTGCCTATACCTAATAAGCTGATGTAGACAAATCCTGTACCCATCAGTGGTTACATAGTACAGGTTTAAAACCCAAACCAGAGATTTTATTCTTGCTGACAGGATCAATGCTTGCTAACAAGAAATTATCACATATACTGAAAAACTGTTAACTAGAAATGCAGATTCCGTGATCAATATCCAAAAACAATTGACCATCTTGTATCATGTTGCACAGTGTTAGCACCCACTGAATAGCATGATAGAGTGAGCCAATATCTGCAGTGGAAAATATGCCACTTTTACTGCAAGAAACTGGTATTAACATCACCTAGAGCTGGTTACAGAGATAGGACCTGTAACAATTTCATGGAACTTTATACTACCCACAGAACAATCAAAGCTAATCACCCAGACATCATGAGCAAAGACCACAAAAGCAGAATGCACTTTTTATTAATATGGCAGTTACTGCAAATTGTAATGTACCTTTAAAGATTTAAAAAAAAAACTCTCAAAATACAAGGATCTTGAAGTGGAAATCTCAAAAATGTGGCACATGAGGACATCAATAATTGCAGTTGGAGCCCTCAGATTGATTGGAAAAGGTTCTGATAGACTCATTGAGGGAATTCCTAGCAGCCTATGCCTTAAAGAAATACAAACAAATTGTACTCATAAGTACACCTCAGACATTACAAAGAGTTTTTCTATGCAAAAATGTGTGTGATATTGTTTGTTTTTTTTTCTAAAAAAATAAAAATATATGATCCATGGAAAATGTCATAAAACCATTTTCTGACCTTAGGTTTCTTGTTGGGACCTGAAAGGAAATGTGTGTAGTATTATTATTACAGTTAAGAGAAGAGCACAATATAAAAAGAAAAATTAAAGAAAAAATAGTGTTTGACAATGTTAAACAATATTTCAAGTTATATTTAAAAAATCTTTTTCACGTGTATAAAAAAAAAAAAAAAAAAAAAAATCTACAAAAATTTTTTCTTATATAACTTTTTATAAGTTTTTTTATATATTTTTATATTTGAAAAAATTTTTTAAATATAACTTGAAGAGACATACTGTTGAAATATTGTTTAACATTGTCAAACACTTTCTCTTTTCTTTTTAATTCGCACTCTTCTCTTAACTGATGAAAAATATTGGAAGAGTTACATCAATTATTTTGATTATTATTATACTACAACAACAATATAAAAAGGCAAATATTTAACATTATGTAATTTTTATAGCATGTGTAAATTAGAATGTTAGATTTAATTTCTAATTTGAGGCAACTTTAAGCAAAATAACGTTTTCATAATTCTTTTAATTTATTTTTAAAAGTACAGCAACAACATTGAACATCAACATTGAACTTAAGAATGTCAGATTATTTTTAAAATGTTAAAATATATCAAAATATAAAGTTAAATGATCTGATACTCTTACCTCCCCAACACACTTTTCTGCTTCTTCTTCAAGAATCTTTTTCAATGTGTTTATCTGTTCTGATGATAATCCTTTATCATTTTTCACATCTATTATTGGTACACTAAAACAGCAAAATATAACATGGTTGTTAAGACAAACAAAAATCAAAAGTCATGAAGTTTACTAAAAGGGAAAATAATAAAGTATCTTAATATTTTTTTCATTCCAACATAATACAAAATGTAGATTCACTTGTAAAATTTACACCAGTAATTACTACAATTATCATCAGTAGCATCCAGTTTTGTCAATTGTAATATTAACATAGATTGTAAGGCATCAAGTTAATGTAACTTATCTTCAAATTTGCACAAATGGTATCGTACATTAGTAGAGTACCACCATAAATGTATGATTACATATTATTTCAAGAATACTACAGCAAACACATGCAAAAATGGCTCATACTGAATGTGTGTATATATATGTTTATTAGAGGTAGATCATAATATCACTACTACTGATGTTTGTTTCATTGCCATATTGTTTTAGACAAATTTTTAAAATTTCCCAAAAAAGGGAAACAAACTGCCATATTGCTTTAAATAAATAAAATTTAAGGAAAACAAAATTCAGTTATAGAAAATAATTAAAGATAAATTTTACCTGAAATGTTTTTTTTTGTTTCCAATAAGTAAATTTATGCTAAAATATAATTTTGTGAAAAAACATATCAAGGTATATATATATATATATATATATATATATATATAAGCGTGTGCGTGTCTCCTACCTTTTAGGATAATCTGGTTTATACTGTATGAACAGTTCAACTTTGACATGAACTTCTTTTCTACTGGCACCACCTCTTGGTAAAAGTCTTATTTTAAACATGGCAGGCTGTAAAATGGAAAAATTTTACAATTTATTTCACAGATGTTTGGTAGACATTTGGTAATGTTAGGTTGGTTGTTTACTGACATATCAACCTGCATGAGCTATTTAATGCTGAAATTAAAATATCAAAATTCAAACTTTGATTAATTCAAGAGAATGACATTATTTCCTGATAAATTATAATTACCCAGCTCCATTTTTTTACTAAATAATCCTACAATCCTAATCAAACAAAGAGTGAAAACTTGTTTCTTTTTACAAGAAATGAGACTAAACATAGCAAATTATTTTTTTTTTGAAAACGTATGCCATATTTTCAATTTTACTTACAACCTTAACTTAAAACCTACTGCCAGTCATTTTGCTACAAGTATCTAGTGCCAGTCATTTTTTTTCTTTTTTAATCATTTCACCCCTAGCAAAGCAATACAGCCACTAAGATGCAAGAGGTTACTGAGTGTTAGAGAATATGGAAATAAAAGGACACTATTAAGGAGAGAGGCCAATAAAAGAACAAGAATTAAGGCAGAAGTTAACTTACAATTACATGTAGCCCTTTCAACTGCAAAATGACGAAACTGCTACTAATCTTGAAGTGTGCTTAAATTCAAAGTATACATGCCATAGAAGATAATTTGTCAGAAAAATTACCATGAAAGTATTTATAGAAAATGTACAGGGAAGCTATATTACAGCTGTGGGAAAGCTAGTGAAGTTGGGATGTCAGGACCAATAACATTGCAAATTCTTTGGATTTTGTCAATTTCTAAATATATAGCAGGAACACTAGACCAGATATGGCAGCAATATTCAAAGCATGGATGAATGGTAAATTTATAAATATGTAAGAGATTCTAACAAGAAAAATTGTCTAGCACAACACAGTGAACCAACTTCCTTAGATGCAGACCTAGCAATTGATTCAATATAATCTTTTTGCTTAATGTCAGTGAAAAATGTTAGTCTGAGGAGGCACAAGAAGTCACTGCCATGCTGATGAAAAGTAAAAAGGATTCTCTTAGACAGTTAAAAGAGCAGTTTTGTTTTGGAGGCATTAAAATTAACAAGTCATTCCTTGCCCTGGTTAACAGATTGTAGGTCTGCCAATTTAACCTTATTGAATTGATCAGACTTACTATTAAGGCCAGAGTAAGTAGTTGTGTCATCAGCGTAGATACAGAATTGAGAACTGATGAGATCATCAAAGTCATTTAAGAAAATTAGAAATAGGACAGGTCTAAAGATAAAGCCCTGGAGAACATCTACATTAATGCAAAAAGATCTAGAAGAGTAGCTATTCGAGACAACTTTCATTTTGTGATTTAATAAAAATTAAATCAGTTAAAAAATTAGTCAGAAATATAAACCTTTCAACTTGTGAAGAAGACCAGTATGCCAAACCCTGTCAAATTCCTTTGAGATATCCAAAGGCAACAGCCAGAGTTTCACCATTCTCATCTAAAGCTTGATAGACTCTTTCACCAATAGTTATTAATACATTAGCAGTTGACCTAGAGAAGCTAAACCCAGGTTGCTTATCTGAAAGGAGACCCTGTGAAGTGAGATGCTTAACAAATTCAGAGTTAGTTAGAGCCTCTAGTACTTTGTCAAAAAGGTAGCCTGACAGAAGTATCAGATGGTTCACCCAAGTTCTTAAAGACTGGGACTACAGAAGAGGATTTCCAAAAAGTAGGAAAGTAAGAAGCATCAAGGGATTTATTGTAGACTTTAGAGAGAATAAGAGACAAATCGGGAAAAGCATTTCTTAAGGACCATTGCAGGGATACCATCAATTCCACATGCTTTGAGGGAAATCCTGTTTAGAGATGATAGCAGAAACAATGGACCGAGTTAAATGCATATCACTCAATAGAAACTCAATTCTAAGTGAAAAGTCAGGCAATGATACTCCAGATGAATCTAGAATAGAATTGGAAGAGAATTTGTGAGTAAAACATTCAGTTTTATCAGTTGAAGTTGTTAACACCTCAAATAGAGTGAAGAGAATAGGTACAGAAGATTTAGTCTTATTTAACACAATTACAGATTTTCCAGTAGTCATGTGAACCAAACTTGTTAAAAAGAGACTATATAGTGCCTCATTCTATCAACAAAGCCTCTTTGAGGATATGTTTACATTTACCATGGACAAACAAATAGGTGCCTGTTATAATCAAAACTAACATGCTGGTACACACAAAAAAAGTGATTCCTGTGGGCTATAGCAGCTGAACAGTTCAAAGCAATGACTAACACGTGTATACGAGACACGGAAGCAAAAATCATGTCGCAGCTCATGACATCACACATGACCACACGAGAGTGAAAACAAGAAGTATTAAGTATGGGAAGCTGTTGGTATAAACCAATGGCTTTTGTTATCAATTATAGGCATTTAAGAATATTTGTGACGATTTCATAGTTTATTTTGTTCAGGTTAGGTTTCAACTGTTTTATGTATATAGCTTCAAGAATTTTTAGTTTTTGTTTGTTTTCATGTCTATGTATAGTTGCGTTTTCAACAAGGATTTTCCGGAATTGTGTACACGGCCAGGCATGTTGTGTTAAATACCTAAAAATGTTAAAGTTATCATTCAAATGTTTTTCATGCAACAAAAACAGACTATCATTGTTTCATCCCTGTATTGGTTGATATATTGAAAAGTAATTGTCATCTTTGATAATGGCTTATGTAGGCTGAAAGCTTAGATTGGATTTAAACATGTATCAATATGGTGATTTCCTTTCGTCTTTCAATGATAATGTTATTAAGCTTATCAGACAATATGAAAGGAACTTAGAATAAACAGACAAAACTTGTCTATATTATTTAATGAAACATGCATTAATGATAAATTGCTGCCTAAATATATACACAATATATATATATATATATATATATATATATATATATATATATATTACACTGAATATTGGAATAAAAACTTATCAAACAAATCACTTATTCTTACTATTATCATAATTTCTGTTTAAATGTTGAATAATAGAAAATCAATAAATATGAAAAGAATAAATCTAATAAATAATATAAGATTGCCAAATATATAAAAATATTATCACCATTTTTATTATTGTTGTTAAAACTCATGGAATGATAAATAGGAAAAGAAACAAAACAAAAAAAATGCCTATGCAAAAATCATTAGTCAAAAATAAAAAAAGAACTAAACATTATAACAACAGCAAAATGCTGTCCTTCCAAATTCTTACAATTACATGTTAAAAAAAAAAAAAAAGACCACCAAAAACATGTGAAGGTGCTCATTCTCTCAAGGGTTGGTGGCTCAGAAATAATCAGAGTTACTTTTGCTCTGGCCTTTGCTTTGAGAGGAAATAAGGCCCACAATACTATATATGTCTCTTTAGGGTCCATCGATGAAACTCAGGATGTTGAAGGTAACATCTATCAGCTAAGTATTAATATATATCATATGAAAATAAAAATACATAATATACACAAACAGTTTACACTGAATGTTGGAATAAACAATTTGTCATCAAATGTACCATTTCTTATCATAATTTAAATGATAAATAGAAAACGATTAAATAAAAAGAATAAAAGCATAAAATTATCATTAAATTAAATATGTACAGCATCCTTTTTATCATTCATTTATTTATTCAGCTAACACAATTGTGGTTCATGGTGACATTGGAGGCAGAATAGTGCAATTTCTTTTGCACTGGATATGTTGAAGCTATCCTGTCACTCTTCTCAGAAGTTAAAGAGGCCAAGACCTACATGTTAACAGGTGGTTTGAATTCAGAGTTTTCCTTCTCCTAGTGATGGTATATAGAGGTTACATACTGTCCAGACTACATGCTCCCACCACCCAGGCTGTAACAACAAAATCCAATGAATACAGGGCCTTATATTTCTTGATGGCTTGGCTGCAACAGTTGCTGGAAGTTGTCAGTGTTGACTGCCAACCACTTTATTATTGTTGTTAAAAACATTTGAAAGATGAATAGAAAAAAATGGCTAAACAGAATTAATAGCTTTAAAAAAAAAAAAAAAAAAAAAAAAAAAAAAATTTGAAAATATGTCCTTGTCCATAAAAACAATTTTATGTTAAAATATAAATACAGTACAAATTATTAATGCCAATAAGTTGTTTACTCAATACAATGTACTAAATTTTCATAATATAATTCTTAGTGAATATATGATAAAATATTCCTAATAAAAGAAATTCACTAAATAACACTTATTTAAAGAAAAAAAAATCCATGTATACCACAACATCTTCTAGAAAATTTTCATGAATAAAGATAATAAATGAATAAAAATATAATAAAAAAAATAACTTTCTTTAACTTTGCTGGAGCAAGAAAAAAAAACACATCCTTTCATTACAACAGTTTTCTATTTTGCTACAAAAGTGTATTGCTGGTAAATTATACTTTCCTAAGGTTTTGATTTTTGCTTGGGAGGGGGTCACTATTTGCACATAAATAGGAGCCTAACAGGTATAATCACACTAAGTCAGGGTCGACCTATGAACAACGGCAATTAAGAGGCGGATCCATGTTCCTCAAAACCCCTTTAATTTCCCCAATTAGCGGCCTTGTTGCCAGATGTAGTTTATCATCATAGTCAGGATGAATGCTGATATTAAGACCTAAAATTTATTATTTACAGATAGATTTATAGACAATAGATTTTCCATTACCAAACACTACAAAAACACACAAAATTGATATTGGCTAATTCATTTAAAAACAAAAATAAATTCTTACTGAAATGCATCAAAGAAAAAGTCTTCCCACAATGCACACATAAAATATTAAGAACATTCCAACACGTTTTTCCAACATATGCATGTGATTTTTTAAAATCATCTACTGAAGAAATAAAGAAATTAACTTTTAAAAAAGCTAAAAAGGTTGAACTTAGAACTTCACAGAAAGAACATTACATCAAAATCAGAAATGGCTCATTTACAACAGATAAGATATACAAGCAACAAATTACAACA